ATTCATTAAAACAGATGGCTGCCACAATGTGGACAATGTATGTTTTACAGAGTTAATCCTAAACCTCTCCTTGCTGTTCTCTAGGTGTTGCAGGTATGTCAGCAAAACTGTTAAACATCTTAAAACAAAAACATTGACTTGTTTTGAAGATTAATGTGAAAGATCATTTATGCTAAATAATGGGAATTACTTAGATTATAAAGACAATTCCTGCTCTTCTTGTTTTTCTGGTGAAATATGGCAAAACAGATATAAATTACATTGTATGAAAACAATTACACATTTATCCAACAAAGATAGCCTTAAAAGAGAATATCATATGAATGAATGCTCTTCTTGATGTTCCCCTTAAGGGGGGATTCGAGAAGTGGAAAAAACAGAAAGATCTGCCATAAAATAGTTTAAAAAAAAAGATACGCTTTATGCAAGATTTCTCACAGAGGAGTTTGACAAATAATCAGAGCTTTCCAAGAGCCACTTGGAAATTATTAGACATAGGCAAAATATTCAGGTTGAGTTCTTTCAAAGAGAATAATAAGTTATGCTCTCAAACAATAATGGTGTCAATGAAAGCTTACAACACAAGTTAACACTGGTGAATCTTGAAGAAATGTCTTAATAGTTGCCTTTTAGCAGGTTGCTTTAATTTAGGAGAGATTGATAATGATTTAACCTGCAACCATAGACTATTTCTGTTGGTTTCATTAAATGACCCAATAAATGACCCATCAGGCTTAATTCTGATTTAGGATCTAAAACAATGAGGATTAAACTGTATAGAAGAGACATTCATAAAGATTTGTAGACTATAGTTTGTGGAATAATTAGCTAATGTCTGTTATTCCTATTCTTCAAATGTTCAGTAAGCATGTTCAACACTGATCCCCTGTCTACGTCCACTTTATTACCAATACATTATGGAAAAATTCATGTTAATTTTTTAGTAATGTGTAAAATGCTTGGTTACTATTAACATCTGGTGTAAAAATCACCTTAATAATTGATAAAAACGCTGAATGATTGGGAACCTTTTTTTAGTTAGTTTGCAGAATAATATATGGCAATGACCCAAATAAAGACTGGGACATGATATTTAACTGATTTATAAGATACATTAAAGGCATGTTGCAATTCAAATACATTAGAATGATGATAAAAGAGCTTTGAAATAAGAATAAAAACAAACAAACAAAAAAACAGGAAGAAGCCATGATAATACACAAACATGAATATTTTAAATCCTCTTATATGTAGAAGGTAGAGGGATTTTTTTTTTCTTTTTTTCCCCTGCTGTCAACTGGAACATGAGGTGAGGCAGCAATCTCTGCAGGTGGGTGGCATGGCCCCTTTTCAGCCTGCACATCAACACATCTTTTTTTCTTTCTCTCTGAGGCATGCCACATCCAGGATGTTTAAGTCAAGAGACGATTCAGGTCATAGGACACCTGAAAGCTCTGCACTCTTTTAAAAAAGGGATCTGATCCTTTCCAGGTGCACTGTGGGATGGAGTAACCAGTGGCTTTTGTTTATAGTGATCACACACACACTGAATGATGCTCTTGAACCAGTAAAGATAATGTTGATTAAATCCCGTTTGATCCTACAGTATATTCTGTGGCATATGGCCATCTGAGCTCTAGTGTGTGTGCATACAAAATGCAAATCCAGGGGAAAGGGAGAATCAGATATGCATCATCCTGTGCAATTAAGATGAGTCGATATCTTGAGGAGCCTATTGCAACACACTGATGCACCAATCAGCTTAAACCAGCTTGAGGGAGACGTTGATGCCACTGAATAAACCAAGACTCTCTCTTTGCTGGACTCTCCATCAGATTACTACTGCTCATGGTTTGAAGGTAATAATAATTGCCACAAACAGTTAGTAACAGATTTGACCACATTTCTTTTTCACAAATAAAAATATGGTTTATTTCTTTTTTGACTATATGTAGATCACTTGGATTTATTTTGAATTAATAGCCGGGGAACTTTCAGAATTATATTGAGTTATTACCTCTACCCCTTTTTGGACAACAACTTCAACTTTCACTACCTCGCAGCGTTCCAGACCATTAGTTTGTTTTTTTACTGTGCAAAAACATTTTAAAGGGCAAACAAAACCACAACAGAAAAATCATATATGAACTGCTGGGATGATATGAGGGTCAACCTATTAGAAAAAAACAAAAAACCCAAAACATAACACTATCAAATAACATGGTGCTTGAGTTAGAAGTGCTGCCATAATATAAGATTTTTATTGACAACAGGTAGCCTACTGGGTATGTGAATACATATATTATTCTCCTTTGTAAATAAAGGAGTGGGTAAAGCTTTAAAATAAATCTTCTATTGCTATACATAATTTAATTGAACATTGTTCAAAAAAGACACCCTTTAGTTTGATTTCTCTCACTTTAGTGGGGGAAAAAGTTTCATTTAATGAAATAATCGACAAATGTTGGTATACATATAAATCCCTTTATTATAAATACTGTATAGATGTGAATAAATATACATTATTTGAAATATTTTCCCCAATGTACCTAAATTAAAGTTTACATTTTTTCTAATTTCTGCCTTGTGAAGTTAGAAAACTACAGTAAAAGGTAACTCCGTAAAAATTCAAAAAATATCCACTGGACTTGGTTTTTGTTAAGGGTTGGTCGTTAAGGAGGTATTGTTCACCGGCTGGGGCGGGTGAGTCCCTCGTTCCTCTGTGATCCCTCGTTCCATCACAGAGGAACGAGGGACTCACCCGCCCCAGCCGGTGAACAATACCTCCTTAACGACCAACCCTTAACAATCATAGACAGGTTTCAGGTATTACAGGAGACAATCCCCCCCTTAATGACAATCCCCCCTTTAACGACCGACCCCTAGAATCATAGACAGGTTCAGATATTACAGGCTAACGATGGAACTAACGACCCATTCATCGGTTACCATTGCATGTTTCCAAGCGATACAAGGCGTTGTCTGTATAAGACTCAAACTCACTGCGGATCCAGACATTTGAATTGAGAAAGCTTCCTGGAGAGGTGGCGAAACGTCTTCAAATCTTGAAAACCAAGTCCAGTGGATATTTTTTGAATTTTTACGGAATGACTATGACCTGGATGACTGAGAACCTTCATCAGCAGTAAAAGGTAACATTTTTTTTTTTATAAATCTGTACCACGAAGGTCAATACAATGGTATGCCTCTCTAGTGATAATTCAAAAATAAATTAAGAATATTGGTTCAAACTGGTAATAGTTTTGACTGATCAGTGCAGGGATTTTCACTTCAGGTACTTTTGGTATATCCTTGGAAATATCATGAAATTCAACTTATTGAAACTTAATGAAATGTAGCTATTTGTTCTAGCAAATTATCTGAATAATTCAGTGACCAAATTCCAATTGGGAAGTGTAATGAAATTAAGCTGGTTCATCCATCCTCTGACAGAGTGACCTAGTAAATAGAGTAAATCAGGGTGTAAAAGTAGTGCTGTATAAATTATATAACTCCCCATTATTCAACAACAGAGAAACAGGCAAGAAGTTAATGGTAATGTAGAAAAGGTGCAGGAGTCCACTGTTCAAGTGGGAAAATCTGTGACTTACATCAGTCATGCAAACTGCACACCATTCTTTGTGTAGAATAATTCTGAAAGTATTCAGACCCCTTTAAATTTTTCACTTTTTGTTTCTTTTCAGCTATTTGCTAAAACCAAAAAGGTAATTTTATTTCTCTTTAAAAACAGAAATGTAGAAATTTTTTGCTAATTTACATTAAAAAAAAAAACTCCTTGAGATGGTTCTGCTCCTTCATTTGAGTCCAGCTGTGTTTAATTAAACCGATTGGACTTGATAAAGGCACACACCTGTCACACCTGTCTACCTTCCAGCTCACAGTGCTTGTCGGAGCAAATGAGAATCATGAGCTCGAAGGAACTGCCCAAGGAGCTCAGAGAAAGAATTGTGCCAAGGCACAGATCTGGCCAAGGTTACAAAACCAATTCTGCAGCACTCAATGTTCCTAAGAGAAAAGTGGCCTCCATAATCCTTAAATGGAAGAAGTTTGGGAAGACCAGAACTCTTCCTAGACCTGACTGTTCAGCCAAACTAAGCAATTGTGGGAGAAGAGCCTTGGTGAGAGCTGTAAAGAGGAACCAAAAGATCACTGTGACTGAGATCTAGGGATACAGTAGGGAGAGTGGAGAAAGATCCACAACGTCAACAATCACTGCTGCCCTCCACCAGTCAGGCTTTATGGCAGAGTGGCCCGATGAAAGCCTCTCCTCAGTGCAAGACATTTGAAAGCCTGCATAGAGTTTGCCAAAAAAACACACGAAGGACTCCTAGACTATGACAAAGATTCTCTGGTCCAATGAGACCACGTTATTATTTGTAAGCTGTGGAGAAAACCAGGCACTGCTCATCACCTGGTCAATACAGTCCCCGGGGGGTTCCTTGGTTTCCTTGTTGGCTAGTACAGCCAAGAAGACTCATGGCTGTACTAGCTGAAATGGGTGCTTCTACTCAATACTGAGCAAAGGGTCTGAATACTTATGACAATGTGATATTGGAGTTTTTCTTTTCTACATTTCTGTTTTTTTCTGTCAAGATGGGGTGCTAAGCGTACATTAATGAGAAATAAAATGAACTTTTTTTATATTAGCAAATCGCTGCAATGAAACAGAGTAAAAAAAAATGTAAGGGGTTTGAGCACTTTCCCTACCCACTGTATGTATAATTTCTGTTTCAGTTCAGTTATTTGCTACTTTTTTGTTGCCCTATCACTTGACTACCATCAAGGTCAGGGTTATATTACTGTATGACAAAATGTGGAGTAATATGAATAGTCTTGCACAGCAAATATGAAGGAAAGTGGTCCAATTAGTTTAAACTTAATTTCTCAAAGCAAGTCTTTCATAATACTGCAACTACGCCTGCTTCAAGTTCCTAAACGAATCCCCTTTTCTGTAGCTCTGTTTTTTTTATGGGAGAACAGTGGATGGTTTAGTGACTTCCAGCAATGTTTTGAACAGATTTACTCTTGTTTGCTCCTTGTATATATTGTACAAAAACATATAAATCTGCCTCTTTTAGCCAATTTCTTATGTGTTGGTTTAGCTGACATGATCCATGCTGGCTTTAAATAGATTTTTACCCAAAAAGTCTGCAGGTTAGCTTAATCACCCACAAGGCTGAAGTAAAAACTGGAGAAAACTTGAAGTGTTTTGTTCTGCTTTCTTGGGGTCACATTAGCAACAGAAATATTTCATTGGCATCACCACCAGCAACCCCCTTTGACTGCTCATAAACTCAGATGTGGGTTTACATTGTAACATGGAGACTTTTATTGCAAATTATACGGATTCGATAAAAGGGACTTGTTAATACCATATTCAAAAAATAATAATCAACATCCAGTACATTTCATATGGAATACTAGCATGGTCTTAAGTGCTCAAACAAGTAACCAGCATTAACTCCGAACTGTCACCACAATGTGCCACAACAATCGTTATCATTATAAATCAAGAGCAAGTTGATTGAAATAAATCATATACAAACACAGCCTGGTGATCTGTAGAGGTATGTATTTTCAGACCAAGGTTATGAATCAAGATTTTGGAAAAGAAAAACCACTTCCATTTAAAGTTGGAAGGTCTGTAAAATGGCCAACTTTTCAAAAATACTGGTTAATTTTGAACATGCAGCACAACCATACTCTCTGCACATTGTCGAACGAGTGTGTGAAAACTAAGACTACACACTGGCTCTACAGATCAAAAGGTACCTATTTTCTCCAAATATACACACATTGATTCTGATCTATTATACTGATATACTGGTTCACACCCTCTGCTTTAAAAAGTAGGCAAATTTCATTGCAAACATTGCTCTTTTAAACATACCTAAATCAACAGCAGTAATGGCATCTAAAGGAACCTGACGACATTAGAAACTATGCCATACTGTGTTTCATTCAAATAAATGTCATATATCCAGTTTTACATGTTTCAAAACGCAGTGTTTATACATTTTAATAAAGGAAGAGAATAAATATACGTCTGAACCATTTTCCATTATACTTTAAATACTGAAACAAAATCAAATGGTGCAGTAACTTTATAGTTGGTAAAATAAGCCAGAAATAATTTCCGTACAAAAAAAAACAGAACCCAAAATATATCACCATGTAAATAATGACAGTGTTTGTGCTTTAAGTCTTTTAACCGCAATGGCTATTGTTCTACAGATCTTCAGTCACAAGTTTACCTGTGAAAATACTGTGAACCTGATGGTTAGTCCTCCGGTTGTCGGGCAGAATATAACACAGTTTAAATTCCAACAACCTCGCAAACATGTTAACCTCAACTAAAAATTCAGCATCTGTATCTGAGGCAACTGATACATTTGAAAAAATACTTATTAAGGGCTGTAATTCTCCTCAGCTTTATCCTGGAATACAAGTCAGATGATGGTTGATAAACATTCGGTCATCAGAAAGGAGGAGATTCTAAGTGAGAGCTACTGGAAGTGTCCTTTGGAGGAAATGGAAATGCATGTGTCAATGGTAAATGTATGAGCATATTAGTATGAGAATATTAAGGCATTACAGTATTTCTGTTTTATTGATGTGGGTTGAGGGTACAGTGCCTTTCAAAAGTATCCATAATCCCTCTACTTTTCATATAGTATTATCTAAAAACCACCAGCTTCGATGTTTGACTGGTATTTTATAAAATGGCGAATGAACACAAGGTAGTGCATGTTTGTGAATGATCAGTAAATAACAAATGCTTTTTAAGAATAGAAATCTGGAAATTGTGACATGTACTGCAGTTGCTCCTATGTTAGTGGTCTAAAATAAAATTTAAATAAGTTTAATACTTTCAAATGTTTACCTACTTATTGAATAAAGTCCGTGTAAGTCTTTCTAACATTGAATCCTTCTGTTCTGGGAAGTGTGAAAATCCCAGTGTGAAAATTTCAATGTCAGTATTATGCTGTGGGGAATGCCTTTCTTCAGCAGGGGCAGGAAAAAGGCCTTTAGACTGCAAAATATCTGAGACTCAACAGACTAATAATTAAACATGACAAAGAGGCTGAACATACAGCCAGATCAGTACCGAAAACTGATGTGTTAGAATCTCTCAGGCCTGAATTCAATTCAATAGTTATTTGCACAAGACTTGAAAAATCTGTTTTTTAGAGATTGTATTTTGAAAGGAAGAATTTTAATATATTTTTCTGTCCTTAAATGTCTTTGAACACATCAAAAGGTGATTCATCACAGTTTTAAAGTACTAATATTCATAGAATACATTTTCACTTTTAACTTTTGTTTATTTCCTTTTGAAAATATTAATTTGTTTTCTTCACTTCACTGCTCTACCTTGTGTTGGTTTATAGAACTAAAAATTCATAAATACAATTCAGATTGTGGTCGTATGAGAAAGTGTAGAAATGCTAATGGGGGTATTGATACTCTCACAAGGCACTACACCTTAGAATGAAAATGCTGCTCTTATAAGCTTTCCTTAAAAAAATTAGTCTGAAACTTAGAGACTGATCATCTTTGTTCACCCTCTTAGTATCAGGAGAAAAGTCAGATTTTAATATATATATATATTTTTTTCTGGTTAGGTTATTGAAGTATTTTGGTAAAACTTGCAGCCAACATCTGCAGTTGGCTGCTGAGGGATTGGAACCCAGTTCAGAAGAAAGAATTCTGCTCTGACACCTGTAGAAAGAGATTTCTTCTAAAGAGAGGTAAATCTTTAAACAACTGAACTTGGGCTTCCCTTCTTCCTACTAAGTGAAGTAAACGGTTTGAACAATCAGAACAAGCATGAAGAACAGGCTGTAGTATTTTCTATTAGGAAAAATGTAAACAGAAGCGCAGCGATGTTCCTCCATTCATACTGTACAAAGATATGATTTATGTTAATGCTCCTGGTGAGATGAGAGAAGCTGGTCCCGCAAACAAAACCCTACACTATACTGAAATATAAAGATATGATACAGGATATTCTGCTACTTTGACGGCTGCCTGATTAAAGCTGTCAGGCAGGCGTGGTAAATGAGGGACCCATTTCCGAAATACAACATCGCAATCCTTCAGGACTGTTTATCCACCTACTGAGAAATCATGGAAACACGGGTCTCAGATAAAGCCCAGCCATTTTTCTTCGTTTGTTTCTGCCCTCTTTTTTCCCCTGCGTATTTTAAGCACGCTCTGTAATCAAATATGTTATTGTTAGAAATCTAAATGTCTTTCCTTTGTTCACCAGCCCATAATACATTCAACACATTGGTACGGTAATCTGTGTATTCAGAGACTTGGCACAATTGCTTCTTTTTAACCAAGTACAAAAATGAATGGAAAAGTTTGCGCCGTCACCTTGCAGGGAAAAAGATGGAAGAAAGTAACTCGTTTGAGAGGCTGTTGATATGATTGAAGTTGGTGAGGTTGGGAGGGGGGTATGGGTGTTGAACACTAATTCACAAAGTGGTCTGTCAATTAGGAACATAATAAAATATATGAAAGAGAAAATAACAATAATGATAAAAAATAACATTGTAGCATTTACATGACAGATTTTTCACCAGAAAGCAAAGAAACAAAATCCCCCACACAAAGAGAAGCTGATTATTTTCCCTCCTCAGCTTTCCACCAAACAGTACCAGATTGAATTTCAGCCATCAGCAATGTCAAAAAAAGGATTCATAAAGGCTCTTGACAGTCACTGTGTCTGCGTCGACCACTGCTAGTACACGCTGATGAAGGAGGAGAGAGCCAGGACCAGGTATCGACAGGCCAGCGGGAGATGGGCGCTTCCTGTGCTCCCATAGGGCGCAGTGTTGGGTGCTGTGGGCAGGAAACAAGAGAAGCTCTGATTAGTTGTGATTGCACTTTCACTCTGCCGCACCAGTTATTTCCAAATCCGCAGTCTGCTTGCTTTGAGGCTTATAAATGAGAATGGCTAGAGCGGCAATTTACAGAGCCACTGTCACTGATTTGAGCTGGTTTGTGAGGAGGAACGTTACAGCGTTATTCCCAGCACTGAAGCTGAGTTTAACACCACTCTTTTCTGTGCAATCAGTATTTTAATGCTTTAGCTCCTTTAAGACCCAAGCTAGAACCAGACTTCAGAGAGTTGACAAAAAAAAAATATGAGAAAAGAAAGCAATTGTAAACTAAAAATAAAAAGTAGCATTTAGTCTTCACATGATAAATAAGCCTAAAGGTACACGTTTATTCAATAATTACAGGTTTATTATCTTCCAAAATGAAAGTGATCAATGCAGGTGGTTACATGCTGGTGAAATCTGATCGGTCAAATTATCTGTCTGTCTCTGCGGTTTTAAGCTAATAAGCAGCTTTATTCACTGGATGGGACATTTTTTACTAGTGAAATTCTTGTAGTCAGAATGACTTCTCAGAACAAACAGAAGAAAGGAAAACTGGGGTTTGGCCAGAACAGTTTCTCCGTTTTAAGGATCTGGTTGATGTTGAAGTAGGTTTAAGTTCTCATTTTTGAGTCAAATAATCCCATTTGGACAATGCAGTGGCTGTCTATGCTTTATACTGTATGGGGTGGTATTAGAAATAACTTGGCTTTGTGCGTCACTGAAAATAACGATCCAGTAAGGCTGTATGAGATGTTCAGCAGCTTCTCCTTTATTCAGACTGCATTTGGGTGACGGTGGCATTGGGCGCAGGAAATTGCCCTGCAATTGGAGATTTGTTGGTTCGAGCCCCAGCTGTGGGGCTTCAATGTGGCGTCCTTGGGCAGGACACTTCACTGCTGCCTACTGATGGTGGTCAGAGGGCCAGTGGTGCCAGGGTACGGCAGCCTCCCTTCTGTCAGTGAGACCCAGAGCAGCTGTGGCTACAATGTAGTTTACCACCATCAGTGTGTGCGTGAATGGGTGACTTACTGAATGTTGTGTAAAGAACTTTAGTCAAGTCTCCTGACTTAAAAAAGGGCTCTATAAGTTGTTTTGGGGTATGCTCCGAGATAAGCTGTACTGAAAGTATGTTTTGTGACACTGCTATAAACAGTGATGCTAGTTTTATTTACATAAGATAATTTTCATCTTCTATTATATTCTGAGTATGCGACTAAAAGGTTTCCTAACAACTTTATTTTTAATATAATAGCAAAGCCCTGAAAATAATTAATTTTGTTTCATTCTTTCCCAGATTTGGATAGAAATAGAAAAAGAGACTGCTTTAAGTGTAGGTATGCAGATCTTTAGATCCTCCATGAGTTATCTAATCTGTCATTAAGACTGCAAATGTCTGGTTTTAAATATGAACAGAATGTGACAAAACAGTTTATCATAAACATTATTTCTAATTGTATAATACATAAATAAGTTTTAGCACAGAATGACACGAATAGCATAAAGCAATTAACACAATGTGGAAAAAGAAAGGATATTTCTATTCTATTGTATCATTTCTATTCTATTTAAAATATATGCTTTAATTTTTAAATGGGCAAAATATTTTTACTACAGTTGACTATAATGTTTCCTTGTTGATTCAGTGGAACTTTTCTTACTTTTTATTTATTTATGATTATTTTCTGAATTCTGTAAATGATCTTTTTTCCTAACAATTATAAATATTTTTGTATTTCTAAGTGAGTTTAATAACGGTGATAAAAGCAATGGTTCTTTGTTTTGTTATACTTGCACAACCTGCTCTACACCAAGATAAAGAGGGAGAATAGGGTTGTTTATTGCCAAGCATGCTAATTATATCAGTCATTAATTAAGATGCAAAAGTGAGTCTAAAAATACAAACAATGTAATAATTGTTTCTTAGAATAAGGGAAAAAAAACAATTTGAAAGTGACTGCTTCCTCACAGAGTGGCAATTTTCCTGCTAATATGCATTATTATGGCTGTTCACAGAGTTAAGGCTGTTCTTGAAGCTCTTATATCCTCTATTCCAACTCTAAGAGAGAAATCATAATTGACACTAGCTACACAAACAAAAAAAAAAAAAAAAAAAAAAACAACAGAGATCAGAAATCAAACAAAAGCTTTTCACATGGATGGTAGAAATCCCCTCATTAAGATCGCAATATACCAACACTACTTTGCAGCAGCCGTGACGTTTTCAAAAATCTTACACCTTGCTTTAACCTGACTTGAAAAGGAAGACGTTGAAAATCGAAAATGTGTCCAACAGACTTTCCTTCCATCTCCTCTATTTTCAGATGTTTGTCAAACATTTTTACCCAGTCTCCCATCCCCCTATGCTGGCTAACAAACCCCATCAGAGGGGAGGAGGACAAATGAGGGCAACACAATTTCTTTTCTCTTATTGCTACAGAAGGAGGCTTTTGTTTAGTGCTGTTTGTGTTTCTCTGACCACAAGACAGCCTCAGTAATATGAACAGGTCTCTCTGGGGACCGAGAAGTAGAGGGCGGCTTTTCATTTGGAGGGCCTCTGCTATCCCCCACCCCAACTGCCGTAACAGACACACTGTTTTCGCTAGAAGCTCAATACATGCTGCCTCGAAGGTTACAAAACATGCTCTCCATCAGCGCGCACATATACCTGCGTGTTCAGGTCACATGCATGCCTGCACATGGAGCACAGCAAGGCGGTGCAAACAGGCTCTGGTGTACCAAGGGAAATCATGTGGTGAACAGCCCATATCAGCAGGGTGCCTCTATTTACACTGCCGGGTAATTAGTTCACAATGTACAGTAACTCCTCTCAAGTAGTCACTAGCTCACACTAGTACAGCGCACACAAACAAGAGATCTTGGGCATATAGTTTATTGTGTTTGCGAGCAAAAAAAACAGATCGCAGTTGTTTCTCTTCAGACAAAGATTATCAAACTAAACCACTGCTACTGAGAAGCTTGTATTTATTTAACTTTGTGTGGGTTGTCATTAGGGCGGTACATGTCTGCTACAGTACTGTCAAAATAAATAGGATGATTAAGAGATTGATTTTATCACCAATGCAATAGCATGCTGGAAACAATATTTAGAGAAAAAAAAAGCAGATTCCATTATTAAATGACAGCGCTATGTTTTTACCTATTATTTTCAGGCATTGCCAGCACTGAGGTTGTTTACTGTTTCATGTTAAAAACACTAGAAAGCATGACGGATGGAAATGGAAAAAAGAAAAAAATGCATAGAGGGACACATGTGGGTGAAAATTTTGATGATGTAGGGGGATGCTGGGAAGCTTGGCTGCCCCCCCCTTTCCTTTGCCTTTTTTTTTTCTATCTTCCTCTCCCCTTTTCTACCCCATCCTCTCCCTTTGTATCCCTTCTCTCCCCTCCTGTCCAGAGTACAGGATAATGACACAGTTTTCCTGGGTTGCAAGAGTGAGCCGAGGAATGGTAGTCATAGCAACAGCTCCCGTCCTGCTCGACCAACCCACCATACCTCCAGCTCGAGTGCGCTTGCACAGAGCTATCCGTGCTTGAACAAATCTTTCAGCGTTTCTAAGTGCTTTTATGCACCTCAGGTGGCAGGTTGGAGATGAAAAAAAAAAGGCAGATTTTACTGTTTTCTCTACTTTGATTTTTTATCTGATCAGTGTCACCACTGTTTTCTGGCTGCACAGCTCGTTTTCATATCTCAGCTTTTCATGCAGCAGTTTAAGAGGCTCGGTAAGTAATTACTGGTTCACTGCTTTGGTTTGCAGTGACAGGCCTGGAAAGCACAACAATAAACCCCTCAGTGCTTCAGGATAGGAAATGTTAGGTGATGCTGCTGCAGCTGCATCCTCACAGCATTTAAGTTTGGAGATGTTTAATATCTTTCGGTGTCACTGCAAAGAGAAGGAGCCTCCTTTTGTTTTGACTGTGTGGGCTGAAACTTGCCACTTTAATTAACTCCCCAACCAGGAACTGCCTGCTATGCCTTCCCTATACTCATTAACATGAAGGTAAAGAAACAAGCACAAAGACACTGAGGGAGAAATAAAGGCAGATAGAGGCAATGGAAGGATTCATCAAAGACAGACAGAACAGGAAAAAATTAGACATTGATTGAATGGGGTTCAAGAGTAAAGACGCATCATTGGCGGACACAGGAGAGAGAGAAAAGCATGAAAAAAAGTGGGAGTGGGCTCTGCTTCTTTGGAGTTAGAATTTAATTGCCATGTACATCAACTCCAAGTTACAAAACGGACCAGAATCCCAGACAATACATCACAGAGAGACCAGCAGTGTCACAAAGCGCCAACGCCAGGAAAAGAAGCAGCCTTCTGAAGGGAGAGCAGCTGAGGAGATAAGTGGAGATGAAAGCGACACGCTCCAATTACTGTTTTGCAACAGAATTGAAATTAATAAAAATGAAAAAAAAAAGGCACTATAGGCTTTCCAGCTGTAGCAGCAGTCATACAAACATAACAAACCCTGGTTGTCTCCCCAGAATCTGGAAAGCAGCCATTAGCTTTAAATAGCCTGCTGAGGGATGAGGCATACTTATTTCCCTGTCCTTGTTCCCTTCCTGCAATCACTCCCAAATCTACGTCGACAGCAGTTTTGTCACCCACATATCTCATATATACAGCAAATGCTAAGGCCCTGAACCTCAGCGGCTCTTGAGAAAGATAATGAATTGTAGAGACATACTGTATGCAACTGTGACAAACAGTGCAGCCTGCATCTTACACCATGCCATTAGTCACTGGAAAACTTCTCTTTCTACAGTAACTGTGCCACTCCCTTGCCCTCCTTTCAACACTAATATTAATAATAAGTTTTTTGCAAAGAAAATAAATAAATACATTCTTTAAATAAACTGTTTATGTATATCTGTGGCTCATAAAACTCTTCATTCTTTATTTTGATACAGAAATGATAGATGCAACATATTGG